ATCTAAATATTTGACATCATTGACTTTTTTAAACATGTTTGACCGTACATCTTATTCAAAAAATTTATGTAATTATTAATTCTTTTCCTATCATTTGATTTATTTTTAAATATACTTTTATGTATACAAATAGTTTTACATATTTCACAAAAGTTTTTGAATAAGACGAATGGTCAAACATATTTAAAAAAGTCAACGGCGTTATTTAGGGACGGAGGAAGTATAAACAAAGAATTAATATTAAAAGTATAATGTTGGAAACTTGGTAACACCTAATTTGGGTCGACAGAGGGAGTACAAGTTTTCACAAAGTATATGAGTATTTTCACACGATGATTGGTCATGCTTTGTTTAACGGCATCGTAATGATATCTAGCTAATTGACTCAGCAACACGTAGCAATGGCAGCCTACAAGCTAAGATTAACAGCCAGGTTATCTAACGAACTCTATGTTTACACGGCAATAAATGTGAAAGGTGATTACGACATAACTAATTAATTCATTTGCACATGATTTAATTTAACATATCTCTTGTTCAAGGCAAGCACACCCACATGCATCCTTTGAGTGCTATAGTGGATTGCTTTGATAGGGCATAGGCGTCGCTATGAACTAATTGTACCAATCCTGGTTGAAATAATAGTTTTAAGGGGGTGACAATAATAATTGCTTCATGTCAATAATCAACCAGCTATCTTGCCTTGCTAATTGGTTCAAAAGCTAATTGTTCCATCCAGCTATATCCTCAATGATACATTCGATCACACTGAGATTTCTCTTGCGTTGGACCCGTCATAGTTTTGGGCAAATTCATCTAGGTCAAGACAAGATTTTGGATAAACTGCTGAAGTGCGGAACGCAAATTTATTTGTATTGATGTTGAATGCTTGAAAATCCCTAAATACATCCGAACTGAGTGTTTTATCACTGTATTTTACCTGGTTCGGAAAAAATATTACTTTATTTTTCTATGTTATCTGACAATAATGTGGCACACAGTAACTCCTTTTTTCGTCGTCCTTAACTACATATCATCAAGGCAGCCTGCAGGATGATGAATTTAAAATCTGTCTACTTCCACTGTACAGATTTCTGCATATCGTGCTTCGAGTTGAACAAATAGTCAGATTGAACTCTAAGCAAGACAAACAGGAACACAGCTTTAATTTGCAAAAAAAAAAAATATTTGACTGAAGATTTCTAGCAACGGCAATCTTTTGTTGCCAGGGAGGTCTAGGGAGTACTTCTATTATTATTGGAGGAGCAGTTTGCAAAATGTCAATAGACTTGTATGCAGATCAATCTGCTAGACTAAGGGTGTGTTCGGAATCCCCCTTTCCCAACTAACCCCTCTCTTCTTCCGCGCGTACGCTTTTTCAAACTGCTAAATAGTGCATTTTTTTGCAAAAAGTTTCTATACGGAAGTTGCTTAAAAAATCATATTGATCTATTTTTAAAAAAAAGTTAATACTTAATTAATCACGTGCTAATCGACCACTCCATTTTCCATGCGGAGAGTTTAGTTCCAAACTCCCCACTAGCGAACACAGCCTAATGCATGATCAGACGATCCTTGGTAGGATGGGTGTACTAAAAAAAATTCTAACATTTGCTCTACCATGCATCCAGCACGGAAACAATGCCACCTCCGCTGCCCTCCTCCTTCGCCAAAGTCCCTATCGACACCATACGTCACCAGCGTTGGCATCTCCCACCCGCCCACAAGATACCAGTGTCGCCAATACCATCATCATATGTATGGCTACTTCGTGAAGCAGCTACCCGGTAGCAACATAGATCTTGTTGCTGAGAACCTGCTTCACCTAGCACTGTCTTTATTGATAGATCATTCTTCCTAGATGGTGATTCGATGTCATCCTCACGTTACCGATAACTTCCAATCCTATGCCCTTCATGGTAAAGTCATGCATTTTTCTTCCTAGCATAGTAGCACTCGAGTTCATGGTTATACTTCAGTTGTGAAAGCAGGAGCAACGAGATATCATGCTAGTATATTTTACATCTGCCTGATGACACGATGTAATCACTAAAGGCATGAGCAGACATTGAATAAATTTTGAAGGATGGTTTATTGACAACATCTGAAGGAACATTAATGAGTCATGAACATACTATGCAGACAATGCCGGTTAATGAGCAATTAACATTTCCTTTCAAGACCTTTCAATAACCATGTGAAATGTTAGAGTTTGTGTGTCAGATATATGTCATAGAGTTGTAATAGGTGTAGGACAGAGTTAGAGTACTTGGGCTCTGTACTAGGCTCTCTTAAATAGACAGGCGCACGGTTGTAACCACATGACAACTTAGCATAGAAGGGAGGGAATGGCCGACGACGATGTCTGACCCAGAGTCGTTGTAGCTCTGATACATTGTAATTATGCTGGAATGGGGCGGAGATCCTGTAATCAGTGTCCCGGGTACATAGGTTTCGGTTTATAGACGTTAATAAATATCGTGTCTCGGTGTCCTCATCATTTTTGTATATCCTATGACATTTATTTCTTCCATGTCCAGTTACCGATGTCGATTTCGGAGCCGGTTTTATAACATTAAAAATGCGAGTAAATTAGTAATGAGGTGTTATATACCTCCATTCCTCCTAATCGGCTGACTGGTCCATATAGGTGCCAAATGGTAGCTGTGGCATGCATTCCACCCCAATGTTAGAGTTGAATATTTGCATTGAATGAAATAATGTCATATAGATCAAATATTAGGTGGAGCAAGACATTCTAAAGGCAGAGATACAGATAGAGAGATGAAGAACACTATACATCTACATGGACAGAGGCATATCAAGCCACTGATCCATTCATGAATCGGCGGTTGCTTAATTTCTGTATTGCCTAGCTGTTTGGCTTAGGAGGTATCAGGAGTTGTTATTACATCAATCAGTCTTCGTGATGACCGGCTAGGTTGTCTCAAACGTATAGACCTAATGGAAACTGCAAAACTAAAGGAAAGGTTCATACACGAAGCATCACAGATTGCTACTCTTCGATCAATCAGAGATTCTTATCAGCTTATGTGTGATCTAATGCAGTGGAGGAGGACTGAAGAAAAATTAGGTGTGGCCCATGGACTACCGTGAGAGTTAGCACAGAACAAGAACAAAGGGGAAAAAAGGCAATCTCAAGGATGATATTGTACGACGTAACATTATCTCATAAAGTCTACATTAAGCATGGCAACAAGCACTAGTCACAAGTTCACAATTTATCATCCATTTGCAAAAAGTGTAGTTAGAAGAGTAGGCACTCAAAAATACCTCAATCCCTCAAGATTACATGGGCACTCAAAAATACCTCAATCCCTCAAGATTACATCACACATAGGAACAAGTGAGGATAGATAGACATATATAGAATCTGCAAAACAAATAGTAAAGATTGATTAGTATACTGTATTTGAGGTTGATAAGATAAAGAGCAATGAGAGGAATAAAATTTGAAAGCATGCCTAAAATAAAATATTTAATTGCTTCTAGTTTTCAGAGATTTAGGCAAGTGTCCCTGAGACGTAGGTTACGACTGATCCTCGCTAACAAATATCGTGTCTCAGTGTCACTGTCATCATTAGTTTTGATCTCCTAGGACATTTTTTTTCCGTATTCAGTTACCAACCTTAATTTCGGGGCCTGTTTCATAACATTAAGAATACGATTAAATAGGTAATGAGGTGTTATATACCACCAGTACTCCTAATTGGATGATTGTTCCATATATAGGTGCCAAAAAGTAGCTGCTGTGGTGACAGAGTTGAATATTTGCATTGAATGAAATAATGTGGTGTAAATCAAATATCAGATGGAGCAAGACATTCTCTGCAGGCTGAGACAGATATAGAGAGATGAACAACACTACATGGACAGAGACTGATCAAACCAGTAATCCAAACATGCAGCAGAGGGATGCTGTCTTTCTATGCATGGCTGTTTGGCCTAGGAGGCAGCAGGAGTGGTTGTTTCACCAATCAGCCTTCACAATGGCCTTGATCGGGTAGACGGACGTATGGACCTAATGGAAACTGCAAAATTAAATGAGGGCACAGTGCACGGGAAGCATCCCAGACTGCTACTCTTGGATCAATCAAATAATGAGAGATGCTTACCGATCGCCTTATGTGTGATCTAATCGTCAAAACTAACTCTGATTGTAGCGATCCTATTTGCGAAGGATGAACTTGATGCAGGATCTCGGTTGGAAAAAATCAGATCAGCCGACAGTTCGAGTTGAGACGTAACAATCCAGGTAGATGCCTGCATTTTTGCAGCCGGCGTGCGAGCACTCCCAGTGATTGCTAGCTAGACGGCCGCTCTTGAGCAACAAGGGTACTCTTTGAACATTGCAGGAATTCTTTACTGAACAAATCGTTAAACGGGTTCGAATATTTTCTGCTTCATGAAACCCTTGCAGATTGGCACAAGTTTTCCTGCATCTCAAAAAACATAGACCTTTCATTCAGATTGTTCAGATCGTGTAATTGTGGATGCAAATGCTGTAGTCAGTTTGTCTTTAATCTTGTGACCAGTTGTTCATATTGAGATTTGGGGGAACCTAGCTAACGCGCGTGCCGCTGGCACGCGTTTCGTCAGGATAAGTTAACTAACTAGTTAGTTATTAAGGATAATAATAGAATTAAAAAAATATATTTTTTAGACTTTTTCTACTAATAGATTGAAAACTTTTAAGTTAGATTTGAAAACTTTCGACTTAAGATTTGAACTTTGAAGACAAATTTCAAAAACATTCAAATCAAACTTTGAAAATTTTTAACTCAAAATTTAAATTTGTAAAAAAATTTTGAAAACATTTAACTCAGATTTGAAAAATTTTAACTCGAGGTTTCAAAACTTTCAACTCGAGATTTGTTTCAACTCGAATTTGAAAACTTTCGACTCCAGATTTGAAAACTTTCAACTCAAGATTTAAAAACTTTCAACTTAGATTTGAAAACTTTCAACTCGAGATTTGAAAACATTCAAGTCTAGATTTAAAAATTTTTGAGTCAAGATTTAAAAACATTCAACACAAAACATTTGAAAACACGTGTGCTAGATATTAAAAAATAATCAGTAAAAAGCGAAAAAGAAAAAGAAAAAAAAGGAAAGCAAAAAAATTGCAAAAAAAGAAAGAGAAAAAAAATCGCCACGCACGGGATGGGCTGCCAGCTGGCGCGCGCGCCGACAACGTTGCTGGTGCGCGCGCGCGAATTAGCCGCCGCGTTGAGATTTCTACTGACTAAGTATGAGACAAGAATATTAAAGACCTGTGCTTTCTTTTATCTGTTAGTTATGGAGTCTGTAACGTTCAGAAGTTGCTAAATATCGAGGAACTTCATTCACATTCAGAAGATGATTGACGGGTTAGTATTTCAAAGGGATACTTTCTGTGATATTTTCTATTTCAGATTTTACAACCTAAACTGATCTCAGATTTATTCTCATGCAGCCAATATGGTTCCGAAGATGTCTGGCATGGAGAGTTGGACAAATTAAAAGTGGTAGTCTGGTGCGTGTATATCAAACTGTACTGCAGGTTTTGGATAAATTGCTGTTTAATAGTGGTATGTGCATTTAACTGATGAACTGAAGAATTGATTATGCGTGAAGTTGTAGGTGCACACTGAACTTAACTGCAGAACTTGAATTACTTCACAGAATCAATATTGCGCATTCATATATCGTATTGTGCTACATTTTTTTCGTCCATAAAAAATATATATATAGATGATGAGTGAGTTCTAAGCTCAGGTTCTACATGCTGACGGAAAGAAATGAAGAGTTGTAGTGAGTACCAGTCCGGTGTCCATTGGGTTTCTATCGTAGGTTTGGGAGGCACCGGAAGCTCTTGTCTTAGAAAACATCCAATCCAGCTGGCTAGTTAATGCGCAATTGGCTTAATTAGTTAGAAGAAAATCCTAGCTAGTCAACCTGAAGCAAGGAAGGAAATTTGCAACCAAATTTTCTTTCAAAATTTGAAGAATTTTCATAGAATACAATTTGATTCTCATCTTTCATTGGCTTGATCCAATGACTTTAAATGGTTTCGGTAGTATTCCAGTTTGGTTTGCTCAACATTTGCCCTTTGTATCCAAAACTACAATTATATGTATCGATTGGGTTCTCCGAGTTGATCCAGATGGAATTGTTCAAAGGGAGATCCTAGCGTGCGAACACAAGGGAGAGCTCTCAGCCCATGGACCATTCTAGTTGGAATATGAGATGAATTCAATGCCTCATGTGACTACGTCCAACTCTCTCTCGCTCTCCAAATTTCTTGCCGAATTCCCTTCTAACATTCAATTGTGAAATATTTCAAATCAATTAAGTAACTTTGAACTCAATTTATTTAAATTATATACGCAAATCTCAAAAGTTTCTTATAAAAGATCATAACTTTCAACTTCGCTTCAATAATATTCTACTTAGCAGATTATAAACTTCCAATTCAGCGCTGAAAGTTTTAGCTAAAAGAAGTAAAATCATTCTATTTTATTTCACAAAAAAAGTTAGGAAATATAAAACTTCACTCAATTCGAAGAAACTTTTAATACAAGAAGAAAATGATACATGTTGAGGTGTTAGAAAACTTTCAAGGACTCAAAAGAACAATGATAACTTTTCTATATGTTGCCATTCAAATATCAAAATCCATGAACATTGTTCTTATATTAAAACAAGAAAAAGTGATGGGCCAATATAACTTAGGTTCAACTGTTCAAGCATATAAATTGCGAGAGAATTGTTCTAGTCCAGCATATTGTAGCTCGAGGTACCGATACCTCGAGCTACTAATCTAAATCCGGCCGTCCATTTTTTGGAGGGTATGATTGGAAACCAAGCAAGTGCAAGCCTTGCATGCTAAGTCCAGCTTCTTATGCTCCTTCTCTCCGACTGTGTCTGTGCCATCGTGCTCTCCAAAACCAAGAGCAACTCCAAGCCAAAGAGAAGCAACAATCATGGCGTGGGGTTGGATAACGAGGAGCCCGAGGCGGCGCAGCCCACCACCATGGAGGTCCTACATGCCGCATCCTGTTTGTCACCGGATCGCCGAAACTGTTGTTCCATCGTGTTCCCTTAATCCCCTCTCCAATCCCCCCTCTGTTTCAGGAAAATACCATGGCGGCACCTGTGATAGCGCGGCGGGGCGCGCAGATGTGCTGCCATCACAATACCGTGACAGCTAAAGGGGAATGGGAGAAGGCCTTGGAGTTAGTGGATGGGAAGAAACACACGTGCACTGATGTGTGGCCAAGAAATCGGTGGTGCAGGCAGTCGTCCAGCAGCTTTGAACCTTTGACCAACAGAAGCACTCAATTCCTCATCCGTCCATACAACACGAAAATATGTTCTCACCCTTCCACTAATTGTTAGTACACGGTACAACCCCAAGAACAATAATGGTATCTCACGGTACCAAGCTATCCTGGCCGTTCGATCTGGCTAAACGAATGACCACGATTTGGTACTACGTAGGGGTGTTGGACGATAGAAAAAAACCTCAACTTGTAATCACCACATGAGCAGATTTTGATGTTATCTTTTGTTAAAAAGGCTTTGAAGTTTTCTCTCTCTGCAAATTAAGACTTGGGACAAAATGGATGACTATTCTGGAAGTAAGTTAAAGCAGTGATCTTGCAATCTTGCATTATAAATTCTGAAGAATGGTTTGTTTAATAACATCTGAAGGAACATTAATGGATCTTAATTGACATTTTATATAGACAATGCCATTTAATGAACCATCAACATTTCCTTATCTGAACCTTTTAACTGAGCTGAGCGTCCGTGTAATTGAGCATTAAGATATTACTATATGTCTCCAATCCCCCATCAGTTAATGGGCCCATATATACAGGTACTGCATTGAACAGCAAAGATAGAGCTGATTAATATTTGCATATATAGAATGAAATTTTGTATAAATAAAAGATCAGATGAAGGATGATATTATAAGATATTCTACACGGTGAGAGTGAGATGAACAACAACACTTCATGGACAGAGGCAGACCGGACCACTGATCTATGCATGCAACGGGTTGCTTTGCTATGCAGGGTTGTTTGGCTTAGGAGGCATCAGGAGTTGTCATTTCACCGGGTCATCATTCTCATTGCCATCGTGGTGGAATCTGATGTATGGTCCAGAGTGCGCTCGCTGCTGGCGTGAGTCGCGCGCTATGCAGCTGGGGCCTCCATCACATTGGTGCAGCTAACCAGCACCCTCACAGGATCGTATTTCCTCATAGAGAGTCCATGCAATTAGACCTGCTAGAACTGGCTGAACCAGACTGTTTTTTTATGAAAACCGACAACCCAATATATGCTTTGTTGAGGCTCAATACGTTTATTTTTCAACAAGTATGATAAAAAGACGTAAGAGAGGATCGAACCCCCTTAGTTGAAAACACCGCTCCTCTACCATCTTCCCCAGCTGTTCGCAGCTAAATATAGTTTCTGGTTCAGCAATCGATCGGAGTGGCCAACCTGGCGGTTTGACTAGTGAACCAATGAACCAAGAGCTCAAGTGGTTCATTGGCTGGTCCCCTTTTTTAAATTATGGACCTAACTCCGCCACAGGAGAAGCCGAGCCGATCTTGGCAGTTCAAATGCATCATAGCATCTTATGTTCCCATGTGGAACCAAAACCGCATGTTGACGGCATCGCAGGCTATCGGTATGTTATCTCTAGTGTACAGCATCTCTAACAAAATCAAGCTCAACCTTGCATTCTAGCTTCGTCCTGTCACTGAACGCCAGTTCACCAGGCCAGGGGTTCATGTTAAGCCTATATGGATGGCACAGGCTACCAGAGTGTGCAGCAGCAAAGTACCCTATCATGGAAAAGCAAAAAATTGTGAGTCGGCGTTATTGAGCCAACGGTGGTGACTGACAGCGCTTGAGTATGTTTGTGAAAGACACAAGTTTGCCTCCATTTCAGATTGTTTAGGTCCTGACGGTGTATCGCGTAGTTTTGTAAGCGTAACCAGCTTTCCAAACTGAACTTTCTATACTAGTTAAGTTTGGTATGTTTAAGGCATGTGCTTTCTTTCATCGGTCAGTTACTTAGCCAGCAAAGTTGAGGAACTTTAGTCACATTTAGAAGATGTTGAAAATTGGGGGGAGGGATTAATATTTTATTGTGATTTTTTTATCTATCATATTTGGCCAGCTAACCTCATCTTAGGTTTGCATATGGCACTGTTCCGATGGATTGATGTCTGTTAGAGTTTCTGTCGAATATGTGTACATAATTAGTTACTGTTTAGGATTTGGAGTTGTACTAGGTATAGGAATAGTGTAAAAGTCGCACTCTATACTAGGATCTCTCTTAAATAGAGGGGCGGACCTGTTGTAACCGCATATGGCGACTTAGCATAGCGAGAGGGAGAGGCTTTTGGTGGCGTCCGGTCATGAGTCGTAACTCAAATATACTGTAATATGCTGGATTGGTGAGGAGCACCTACAGTGTCACAGGAAAGTAGGCTTCGGTTGAAACTCGTTAACATATATCCTGTCTCGGTGTCATCATCGTGTTTGGATCTCTTATGGTGTTTCTTCCGCATTTGGTTATAAATGTGATTTCGGAGCCGATTTTATAACAATGGTTTCAAAGATTTCCCAAGTGATGAACCAGACAAAACTGGTAGCCTCTGGTGCCTTGGTTTGTGCATGTTAAACTGATCTATAGGTTTTCCCTTGTTTTTTTCTGTTTAAACCACCAAAATTGACCTTAGATTACTGAGCCCCACTTCGGTGCTTTCTATTTGCAGTAGAAAATAATCCGAGTCATTGATCGTATTTAATCGTAGGGTTGAGATCTAGTTCTACTACCACCTAAGTTAGTGGTAGTAGAAATGTGGAGGGGTATACTTGTCCCGAGATAATAATTCGCATACGGGTATTATCGTAATTTATCATCATCTAACTCTACGCCCTCTTCCAATCCTAATCAACGCCATTCGACTCCCGTCCACCTCTTCCGTCGCCCGTTCCCCTCCATCCTGCCTCCGTCGCCGTCCCATCTCCCTCACCGAGCAGGCGCTGGCCATGGGCTGCAGCGACCTCATCCTGCCACCCGTTGTGCCACAGCAGATAGCCGGACAGCCCGGTGGCGTATATGGGCGCCATCATGGCGCCCGTGCAGGAGCAGGACAAGCAGTTGGTGGTCGACCTCACCTCCACAGCAGCGGACCAGCTCGCCAGGATGTGCAGCGCCGGCGAGCCGCTGTGGTGCGGCTGCGTGGCGCGGATGATGGTCGTGGAGGAGCACGCGCGGAAGTTCAGATGTGAAATACTGTTGGCATCCATGAATTATCAAGGGATGGCCATGTGAGATGCCTTTTGTTCAGTGCACAAATACTGCACCTCTGAATACAGCACAAGTATGTTGGCTTGCTGTTTGGTTTGACTTGGTGTGTGTTTCCTGCTACTAGAGATACCGCACCTTATATTAATCTCATTTGGCCATTTGGGAAGCCCAAAAATGTACTACCTAACACAAAGTACAAATTCAGAGAAAATGTGGACAGATTTTGTGGACACTCATGCAATCTTTGTGCGTTCCTCCTGCCAAACGTTGTAAACTTACCAAAATTATTCTAGAGAGAAGGAGAAATAGGACTATATTTTTGGCAATAACCAGGGGAAAGCCTGGAAGCTTAATTTCATGGACACTAATGTCACAAACTGCACGCTTTGTTGCAAATCAAAGATGCTGTACTGTTAACAATCAGAGTTGGCTGCATTTTCAGTCAAGTGATATTTTGACAGCAAATATTTGATCAATGCACACACCCGCAAGCCATCAAGACGATCTGGAAACAGGAAAGTTCTGGTAAACATTATTGAATCGCAAAACCACGAAGCTATGGATCACCAAAAAGATGCAAAAGATTAGCCCTAATCGCACCGTGGTTAAGCAGTTGCCTGCGACGTAACCAGTCTCACTTTGCATAGTATTACTGTCTCGTCCAAAGACAAAGAGAGAGTATAAAGCCAGGTTGTTCCTGACAATCAAACTTGATCCTAACAGGTGAGGAGTGGGAGGAGTGGCCAAATTTCGCCACGCCCAGCCGCTGGCAGCGCTGCCAACCACGCCACTGCCTTGCTAGGAGGAGTAGCGAAAACCTGCGTCGGGGAAAGATTTGGTGCCTGCGTCCGGGCGAGATGTGATGCGTCGAACCTGATGCGAACAAGAGAAGAAAACATCCCATGCCAAAATTACCCCTAAACTATATTAGGAGATTACTAATCTACCCTATAAAATCAACTGTCGAGATTAATTCTACTTGTAGTAAAATACTTCAAGTAGAGAGCACCGGAGCGTAACTCTAGATTACTAACTTAATGTGGCTCACTCCTACTGTGATGACTCAAAGATGACGAATGGCAATACCATGTACTTTCTGATTTGCAATGAAGGTAGCTTCGTACCTTCATCTCAGACTGAACGTACTCTAGAATTTGGATAACTAGGAAGGTGGCCCGCGCGTATGCGCGGGCACTTATATTATTGAAAGGTAAGATTTTTATTGTTTGTTCAAAGATTTTGTCTCATAGATTAAGGGAAAACTAAAGTTCGGATAATGTAATTTTATAATAATTTAAGGTTTCTATTTTTCTTAAAGTATCTTAAAAATCCATTCACAAATTTTTAAGTAGGAGATGGATTAAGTACTTACGACTTTTGAATCATGTTATTTTCTCGAGTAAATAATAAACTATATATTGCTTGTAGTATGGCTACAAATTAAAAATGTGAGAGCAAGATACTCAAAATTCTTGTGATTAAATCGTCTCATGAAGGCGCATGATATAGTAAGAAAGAGAGGGAAGCGTATACATGAAGAAAAGAAGAAAGGGAAAAATGATAAAAGGGAGGGGAAGCATAGGTACCCACGCGTACGTAGGTGCGTATCGAAGGTGGAGAGGTGGGACCTTGTAGTATTTAGTTTCTTCTAAGATCAATTTAATCTAATGGTTTATAATATTGAACCCACCGATTTAAGTGAAAATCAAGTAATAGATAATTTGCTGTTTTTCTTAGAATTTCTAATATGTTCTCTAATTTATTAGAGCACCAAGTGGTAGCTTGAGGGTATTTGAAATTTTAATGGACTTACCACATGTAATGAGAATATTAACATGTAATATATATGTATGGGATATATGTTAATATTCATTCTAGCTTTGTCCATGTTTATATACATGTAGAGAGAAATTAAATATGTTGCTAGCAAACCATTAGATGTCTAATTAATAGCAAATAATTTTGACACATATTTGCAATTGTTCATAGTAGCTCTTAAGATTCATGTTACCACTTTGATTATTCGTTGATCACCATGATTCGCACGAAAAAAATATGTACTACTTAGGGTTTAGGACAACTGAAATTTATGAATTATCTGATTTATGTGATAGCTATTTGAGATTATAAACAAATGAATTAACTTCTAAATAGTTAAAAAGTCGTTTAAGAAAAGCACCATTTATAAACTTGGAAAAGCGTGGAGCGTGCAAACGAAAATGCAAAAGATGGAATCAATAAAAAAATAGGGCCTTAAAACTCCCTTATTACTCTTATCCTAGTACGAATTCTATTAATATGTGTTAATATTATGCTGAAAATAGGGAGGAGATTGGAGAGGAATGAATAGCATACAACTCGAGCCAGAGATGGGTTGGCAGTGTAACAGTGTCATGCACATGTGATTGGAGAGGGAGGTGGAGGGGACATTGTTTTTCTAATGTTTCTAAATAATGTAGGTGAGAACTCGTTGTTTTCTCATTCTAAAAATCTTTAACAGTTGATATATATGTGGTGGCTTAAGATTTTTTATTAACAAAAGCGGTAGCGTTGCAGCGATCATGATCACCTAAGATGCCTCAGACACGATGCTTTGTCACACGTGCGAAAGGCAAAGGTGTAGATTTGCATTGTACAGCGGACCAAAAAGAGAACTTTGGACACTTTAGTTATTAACAATAGATATGTTGATTTAAATAATGGGTCCACCGGTTCTAGTGTAAATGTAAATTAGTTAATATATATTTTAAATTGTTAATTTAATGGGTACACAATATGATGGTGTAGAATTTATTTTAAAATAGTACATTATTTGAGAATAATAGTCCAAATTAATAAAAAAAAAGATCCCATGATTTAAATAATGGGTCCATCTGTTTAAGTGCACGTATAATTAGTTAATATAGATCTTAAATTATTTATTTGATAAGTACACATTATAATTGTGTAAACTTTATTTTAAAATAGTGTATTATTTGAAAATAATAGTACAAATTAATGAGTACACCGGTTTAATTGGAAATTATATTGATTTAATGGGTAAACATATAATGGTGTAAATTTTATTTTCAAAGATTGTAGAGCTAATTTAGTTAACTGTGTTTATAAAGAATTATATGATGGTATATTCTTTGTTTGTAAATTATGTTTATTTAGAATATATATATATCAATTATATAAATGGAAAAAAGAAGAGAGAAAAAGGAAGAAATAATTGGAGGGAGGCGTACATACTACATACCAAAATAATTGGAAGGAGGCGTACGTACTGCATACCCATGTACGTACGTGAGTTAGGTGGGACCCATAGTATTTGGTTTATTTTAGGATCAATTTTATCTAACGGTGTATAATATTGGACCCACCAATTTAAGTGAAAATCAATGGGTAGATGTTTTGCTTTTTTCTTAGAATTTACAGGATTTTCTCTAATTTATTAGAGCGCCATGTGGTAACTTGAGAGCGTTTGTAGGAAGTTTAATGGACTTTTAGTATATAAAGATAGATAGATAGATAGATAGATTTCTCTAATTTATTAGAGCGCCATGTGGTAACTTGAGAGCGTTTGTAGGAAGTTTAATGGACTTTTAGTATATAATAGATAGATAATAGATTTGCGGGGATCCTTTGACCCATATAGGCGTAGAATAGCTGATTATCATGAAAGAAGTTAGGATGCTACGGGATGGGAGGATAAACATTCGTTCCCCCCCCCCACTATCTCTCTCTCTCTCTTCTTTTGGTGCCAATGGGAAAGACGAGTAGTTCATCCTTCATACATGAGCTCTAATAATCCAACTACTTGGTTCAAAGGTATGGGCTTTCCAGTGACGAGCACAAGAGTCGATTAAGCATAAACTACAGCATGCAGTTGTAAATGCGCATGGAACTCAGCTGCAGAACTTAAACAACTGCACGAAATCGCGTATTCATATGTGATACTCTGCTGCCCATTATTCCATTAAAAAGATAGAAATGAGCGATTAAACAATGAAATTTTTAGGT